GTGTGTGTGTGTGTGTGTGTGTGTGTGTGTGTGTGTGTGTGTGTGTGCATATGTGTGTGTATTCTTGTGTACACCCATATTCTCAAATATAACCTGTTGAGCAATGATACTTGTCTGTATGAGTTTAGGGCTGGCCCTTTGGCACTAGATGACCAATGGACATACTCTTCTCTGAGGAAGTCCTCTCCCGCCCCATCTTTCCTCGGTTGTCTGTAATTCTATGAGATCGCTACTCTCTGCTGACAGTGTGTTGACTAAAGCAAAGCGTGGTCTCCATGCTCGACTGGGCAATGTCGGGGCATTTTTGTCTGTTACAATGAGAGCTGGCACCTACTGGACAGAGACCAAAATAGTCTGCTAAACACTATCCAAGGAAGTCAAGAGCTCTTACCAACACTGAATTACCCCACTCTGCCAATAGTCCTGAAGTTGAGACATCCTGTGTTAAACTTCGTAAATGACAAATAAAAATACATTAACCCCCCCCTCCAAACACCCCCCGAGATTCTGTCCTAAGAATGCTTCACAAATGCTTTCAGTTCTGGCTCCAATTTAAATCACTATAACTGGAAGTCATGAGCATGCCACACAGATCAAAACAACCCTCCAATCCCAGAGAAATCCAAATGCTGAGGCTCAGATGTATTCAAAGAAATATGCTAAATCCAAGTTGCGAAAAATGTCACAACAAGAACTTGGATTCCTGCATACCAGGCCCATATTTACTTTGAAATAAGGACATTCTCCAAGAAAATGAAGAAATAATTGCTTCTTATGAAAACAACAATATATAAGCCAACAGGATAGCTCAGAGAGAAAAGGCACCTGTCACCAAGCCTGAAGATATGGGTTGAGTCCCCTGTACTCATGTGGTAGAAGAAGAGAATCAATTCCTAAAAGTTGTCTTTGGACTTCCACACATTCAGACACTGTGCATATACACCTGGCACAAAGACACGCAAATAAACAATGTGTATGATCAGTATACATGTATGTCAGGCATGGCGATGCATGCCTATAATCCTAGCACTCCGGAAGCAGAGGCAGGAGGATCACCACAAGCCTGAGATTAGGAGAGGCTACACAGAAGATTCCAGGTCAGCCAGGGCTGCATAGTAGGAACCCACCTCAAAAAAAATGGAAGAAAAAGAAAGAAAACCACCAAGACAGACAATAAAAACAAAGATAAGTAAGACTCCACAGACAGAAAAATTCAGAGTGAAGTATAAGAATGCATTGTGTACTGGAAGAGCATTGGCGATCACTTGGGCACAGAATGACAGGGAAAATAGAAGGGAAAATTATATATATATATATATATATATATATATATATATATATATATACATATTTGTGTGTGTGTGTGTGTGTATACCTGGACATATGTACAAAATAAGAAAATATCTCCCATGTGCCACCCAAGAAGTTCGCTTGGGTGCCAATGTTGTGTAAGTGGACTGGGTATTAAATGACTAATTGATGTTATCAATTTGAAGCTATGAATAGTATTCCATATAATCCCTGACAACTGATGGTTAGAAAAAAAATAGTTAGTAGAAGTCTGACTTGAAGCTTAGAATTTGGATCTTTCCCTAGGCTACTGAGTGTGATTCTCTCTTAAGATGGAGGGTAACCTCAGTGAGCTATAGCTCCCTGCCAACTATGAGATAACCAAGAAGACAGTCATGGCTCTTTAACATATTGCATGGCTAGGAAATGATGAACAACCATTTGCTTGTTTGTGTGTTTATTTATTTATTTCCAGGCAGATTCTCACTATGTAGCTATGTAGCCCAGGCTAGACTCAAACTCCTGATCCTTCTCTATCAGCCTCTTAAGTACTGGAATTCCAGGTCAGTGCTACCTCAAATGGCTCTGTCTTAAGATATTTGCAATTCAGGATGGGTATTGAGAAGTTGTGCCCCTGCGTGCCTAGGAGCATCTGGAGTTTAATGTCTTGCTCACACACAAACTATGCTCTGTCTTATCCGGTCTTCCATGTGTTTTACAGGTGTTTGTCTTGGCTCCCCAGCAGGCTGCAAGCACCTTAAAAACGGGCTGTGTTTTCCACGCCCTTGTTTATATATACATATTAACTGCTGGGCGGAAAAAAAAACCCACTCACCAACAGATTGTAAACCCACACCCAATTTTGAGGAAACCTAATCTTGGTCTGTGTCTACTAGTGTCCCCCAGCAGTACAGAACTGCCCTCCATCAACATGAGAACAGAGTCAAGAGAAAGGCTTGCAAAGGATGAGAATCCAGACAGGACAGAGAGCAGAGAACTCGCATCCCTGGGTGGTCTTGGAGCACATGAGACTCTTCCGAGGGCCACGGACTGGGCTAGGCAGCAAGCTCCATTGCTTGACAAATGGTGTCAAATTCCAGAGCACTCGTGAATTTCCCAGACCCATGGGGAGGAGGAGACCAGTTGGAAAGGATGCAACCAGAGACACAGTGTGTTTCTGCATCACACATTCTGGCAAGCGCCTCTCTGTGCCAGACTCTCCGCAAACCTGACCGAGACCCATGCTTCTCTGTCACTCTTTTACCTCCTGTTGAAAGCTCTCAAGCTGGCTCCTGTGCCACTTCCCAGACAGACACTGGGACAGCCAGTAGACAAGTGTCCTTCTACTCATTAAACATAACACACCAGGGCAGACACGAAGGTCAAGGACAAAATTTGGAACATTTCTGTAAGCCTTGCTCCAGACACTCAAGTTCATTCCAAGAATGTACAGTATCAATAATCATTAGCCCTTTGTGGGGCAGTATTCTAGGTACTTATTTTCAAAACACAGATCAGCTGTCTGTGCCTGTTTTTGTAAAATCTCTGTCCTGGGAAACAGCCATTCATGTAGTGCATGGGATATCTGTGCTGCTTTCCCATTGAACGGGCAGGGTTGAGAGACACAGCAGTGCACAGCCTTCGGCGCTTAAATATCTAGTCTCTGGTCCCTTAAAGGAAAAAAAAACTGGCAGGCTTCACAGTAAATAAAAGCTCAGTGGATCATGTATGATGTGCCTAAATATATCAGTGTTGTAAGCATCAGGAATAAATACAGTTGTTAAAAACAGTTGTTGCTCCTTGTTGAGCATTTACTTAGTCATCAACATTGTGAGGAAACATTATTACCCCCTCCTTCAGAGTGGAAAACTAAAGCCCACCTTAAGTTCCGCCCCAGGTCATGGAGGTGATCAGTGAAGGACTGGGGATTTGTATCCAGGCTCTCCCTCTGACTCATGGCAGATGGTGCCCTGCACTACCCTGTCTGTATCTATCAGATGGTTCACCTTCTATGGGCAGAGACAACCTACAGATAGATTGACTGGAGATACAAAGACCCAAAAGTCAAAGAAACATAAATTGTCTTCACAATGCGGTTTCCACCAGGCTATTTGGTACTAAAGATGGGGTTGTTCTGAGGTCCTAATGAGCGTCCTCCTCTGTGGTTATGTCTCTCATTTCCACCTCTATGGTCACCTGTCATTCTGGGATGTCATGCAAACTCCACAATGCCTTCAGAACATGCTGGAAGCATTAAAAGAGGCCCCTCCATTCTCCTGACCCTATAGTGTGGTTCCAGACCAGTGAGTCTATGTGACACTTGACTGGCGAATATGTCAAGACCTGTCCAGCACTAATCTGGAGCGAGAAGGCCTTCTGTTGATTCGGGCTGGCGGAGGGTAAATCGGTAGGAGCAAAGCTCTGTCCTTATTTCCCAGCAATCCATCCCCATTTGCAAACCTGCCTGGAGCCTCAGGGGCACGCAGTCCTGTGACTAAATATCCTTCTGCAACTGCAGTTACCTTCCTGCTTGCATTCCTGGGAGACTAAGCTCAGATGTCATAGCGAGAATTTAAGAATGTATCCCAACTTCGTCCACCAGTTCCAGGTGTTAATTCTGTGGCCATTCCAACCTTTTCTCCTTTGTTCCTCATGTGATGTCTAGTACTTTCGACATGGGGCTTCCCTGACCCATCAGACAGCTCTTTTCATCCTCTTCTTCTCCTAAGATGTGGCCAAACACCTACTTAGGCAAAGAGCATTCACTGAATGCTGAGTGACCTAAAGCTCCCCATTCAGTCAGAGCCTCTCAGACAGAAGTTCCCAGGCATAGCCCCTTACACATTGCTGTTCTTGACTTCTAAAACCAAAATCAGGTTTGGTCTATTAGAACCTTCGCCGACTCTAGACCAAGGGTCTTAACAGAGTCTGAGACCAGTTTAACACCACCTTCTCAATGGTTCTCCACCTCACATGACCACCATCAGCCCTGCCCTGGTTGCCCGTGCGCCCCAAGATTTACCTTCACTGCCACGAGCATCTTGTCTTTGGTGGGGCTTAAATTGTAACACTCAGCCAGGAAGACCTTTCCAAAGGCTCCCTCGCCCAGTTCTCTCTTCAACACGATGTCTCTCCTCTTGATGTGCTGGACATCTGTAGGAGCATGACAAAGGGGACAGTCAGGTTCTGTCATTCATCAGAACAGCATGAATCCAGGGCGCTTCTGAGCTCACAGTGAGAAAAGGCAAATGTCCACATCCCAGTTTGGGCACAGAGACTGTCATTTCGTCATGGGTGACATCTGTGCCAGACCGGCTGCCGAGTACTCTACACCTCAGCTTTCTGAGATGAAGACCAGAGCTGATGGTAGCTTGCAATCCAGACAGACCAGGAATCAGTGATGTTACTGAATGTAGGGCTGCTTCCGTCTCCCGTGGTACCGCACATGAACTGGGGCACCTTGGCAAGATGCAGATTCTGATTCAGGGGGCCTGAGACTCTGCATCCCTAGCAAGACCCCAGGGGATATCAATGAGTTATTGGCAACTCTTTAAACACTAAGGTTGCCAGGATGGGGTTGAGAATCAGGCTTGAATCCTGACTCTATGCCCCTCCTGGCTTCTCTCTCTCTCTCTCTCTCTCTCTCTCTCTCTCTCTCTCTCTTTAGTTTGGGAAAGTTATTTAATTCTAGAGCCTCAATATCCTCATTTGTAAAATGTGTTGACAGCAGCACCTATCTCACGAAAGCCTTTTGATGAAGTAGATCATCCAGGCTAAGAGGCTGACTTAGTGCCTAGAAGAAACGTAGAAACATGTGTTCAGCACACACATACACACACACACACACACACACACACACACATACACACAAAAACAAGCACACCCACACATACGAACTCATGCACATACACATAGCCACATATACATACAGGTACATGCGCATATGCGCACGCACATATACATATATACACACACACATGTACACATGCATACCTACACACACACACACACACACACAGCCCAACAGCACCTTGTTCACGATAGAAAACACTCACAGGTAGCTAAAATTATTTCAGGAAACTCTCTAGTTGTCCAGTACAGCTCCTCCGAGAGAAAGCAAACCGATGAGATCACAAACAGCAAATTCAAAGACAAGCCTTAGAACTGAGGTCTGTGCAAAGAGTTGCCAGTGCCTCTGCTAATTTAGCAACCTAATTAAAGTGTGTCGGCCAGGAGGGAGCAGAGCCGCGACCTCAGCCCTCCCACCTCTTTGGAAAGAATGCTGCCAAGGAATTGTCGAAGCAGGGGGCTGGCGATGAAAAAGAGTGAGGGGGGATTACTCACCGACCTTTACATGAATTGCTCAATAGGCAAAAGCCCATTAAATGCCTGTATCGATATTAGGAAGCATGTCGCCGAGCCGGCAAAGAAGATCCTCTCAAGTGACCTTGCTGAACAGTGAAAGCTGAAGGTGGTGAAGGTGGAAGAGCCGTGGCAGACTGTTTCCACAGTGAGGAACCACGTGGTGACAGTGACAGAGGGGGCATGACTCGGAGGCTGGGCCTACTGGCTTGGGAGGCTTGGGTACTGCTTGTTCCTCTCCAAGTTCAAATCCCACAGAGTCTAGCATGACCTACCCCATTTCTTTCTCCCTTACAGGCAGTCTTCAGCAACAGGTAGATGACAACAGTCTCCTTGGCTGGAGAGATGGCTCAGATTCTCCAAGTTCTTTCCTGCTCTGCATCCCTATCTCTGTCTCGTATCCTTTGAAGAGTGGTATATTTTTGGCCTGGCAGGGGGTAAGGCTAAAAAGTATGACTGGCAAAAAATTAGTTTCTGTTGGGAAGTCATCTTCTTGCCATGGCCTAGTCATTCCCAGGTGTCTAGCGATGACACATGGAACCACGCAGGCGGAGTGACCTGGCAAGGCCAGGGAGTGAAGATGTGGCCTGGTAAGACAGCTCTCCAGCCCGGGGCCAGGTCTCCCATTCCTCATCTATAAAATGGGTATATCCCTGCACTTGTGTATATTGATAAGTCTATCAATACTTTTATTGTGGAATTCTGTCCTCCGTGGACCACATGACCATTATGATCTTGCAGTCACAGTGACTCTAACTCACACCACCAGCCAATGGGGCTAGGGAGATGTCTCGGTGAATAAAGCATGTGCTGTGTAAGGGCAAGAACCTGAGTTCGGATCCCCAGGCCAGGCCGGCTGTAGTAGCTGTGTGTGTAATCTTAAGATTTCATGATGAGACTGGAGGCAGAGAGAGAATACCTGTAAGCCTGTGGGCAAATCACCTGCTGTATACAGTAGCAAAAGAAAAGAGGAGGCATATTCTCAAGCAAAGAAGGCAGAGACCAACACAAAGGCTGACATCTGACCTCTACACACACCGTGGCATGAGCATGCATCCCACATACACACTCATAATATGTGCACATGTATATGTGTACACACACACACACACAGAGAGAGAGAGAGAGAGAGAGAGAGAGAGAGAGAGAGAGCAGTCTTATTATTGTGCCCTTATAGAGGGGCTGGGGACATCATCAGACTCTCTGCTGAGATGTCAGCCATTCTCTCCTCCCTGTTTCCACTCCAGCCACATGGCATCCTTTCAACTGCATGTTGTCTTGGAAGGTGCTAACATGTATAGCATGCAGTAGGCTGAGAGAGGACTCCGCTGACAGTTTTGGACTCTTGCTGAGGTAGGAGGTTTCGGTGATGCAGCTATTTTTGGTCATTCATAATCCTGTAACTCTAATAAACATTTGCTTGCCAAGCTGGCCTCGGTCTGCTCTCTACCTTAGGTGAACAGATTTTTGTTGGTCCAGCTCTCCCTAGAAAAATATACTACCAATGTATTCCAAATTGTAAATATGGTAAATATCATTTTTGTCATGGATGGTATTTTATTTTAAAAGAAGGTGAAATGAAAGCCTAGCCAAGTCTCCCCCAGATGCTGAGATCAGCGTGACATCCAGATGCAGCAAAGATGTGCCAGAGTAGCCAATCGCTTGAGGAAAAGCTGCGTTTGCAGTCAGATCCCCTTCTAACCTCCTCCTCACTTACCAATGGGCAGTCCCCTCAGAATCATGCAGAGAGTGTTTTGAGACCAGAGCGCTGGGCTTCTACCCCACAGATTATCATCCAGGGCATCCATCTTGAGGCTTGAGGACAGGCATCCCTAAGTTCCCAGATGATGCTGACATTGCTGATCCGGGAATCACACTTTGAGGGCCACTGGAACTTGATGGGTTTTGGGCAGTGAGGGGTTAACTGAGAGAGCCGCAACCTGGCAGCCTGCATCATGTCTCCCAACAGGTACATCACACTTCATTTCCAGAAGACAATGAGAAGGTCATGGGGCTTGGATCTACTTCCAAGCCCCTCTAGCCCTTGCAAGCTCTATGGCTTAGGTTGAGTCAAGTGTTTGAAGAGACTGAGCTGCCTATCTGTGCTCTGGAGAAGAAGCCTCTCTGGCTTTCTTGTCTTCAGAAACCCCTCCACAAAGGCAGGGCAACATTATAAAATGTCACTGGTCCCTAAGTCCAGCTCTGAGCTGGGTTGCCTCAGAACTTCCCACTCTCAGCAATACTGGGTACAAAATGAGAACTGGGGAGCTTTAGAAAGAGCCGGACTGCCCCTTCAGCTGCTATGCCTGGGTCGTGTCTGAAAGCCCTTATTTCCCGTCTCCCTCCCTAGGCAGTAGGAGTCCAGGGTTTTGAAAGACTCAGAGGCTCCATGTGGGAGTATCATACAGGTCTTTCCAGAGACCTGTCAGGTTGGGAGCCTGGTATCTTTTGCAGACTTTCTGCTGCTGGTGGTGAGCATAGCAGCTGTGGGCTTTGAGCCAGGCAGGGGGCAGGTGAGCATGTTGTGAGAAACCCACCCTCCTACTCGCCACAGGAACATGAACAGGGTAGGCTAGAGCCTACCATGAGCCAAAGTATTTTGCTCCAACATGCAAATGAATTGTTTTAGGGACAGGGGCATGTCCAGTGACTCAGAATAAAGGCTCCTTGTTTGATTCTCTTGTCTTCACAGTAAAGGGAGTTTAAGATCAAAACATGTGTTTATCCCTGGTCAAGTGGTAAGAGCTAGGATGGGGAGAAAGAGCCAGAAATGAAAGTAGATTTCATTCTACCCCAAATCCTTTTCCAATAAAGAATGAATTTCTGGCTGTGGGGACAAGAAGCCCCACAAGGTGAATGGGAAACTTTGGCAGAGAAACACTGACGAGAAGCCAAATGCATGGCATCAATCCCTTGCATGTGGATGCTCCCATGTACCAAGGAGGCTGAACTCCAAAAATGCAGTCTCAGCCATTCTTTCCCCAAAATCACAAGCGAAGAAGGATAAAGCAAAGGGGAATGTGAATGTGGCCGGTCCTACAAAATGTTCAGGGCTCATTCTCATAAGGACCTGAGAGTCACTGCGCTCCTTTCACAGATAAAATGAAGGTTAGTGACACCCTCCAGAATTCAGAGATAAATCGCGGCCAAGAAAAGCCTTTCCTCTCGGGGATTCCTGAGCTTCTGTTCTTTCCTCTCCATCCTTACTCGGTCCTCAGTCTATAGTCATCGAAATGGTCCTGTCCAAAGGTTAACCCTCAATTATCCACCTTAGTCTCCCATACTGCTCCATTTTTCACAACATTGTTCCAATGACAGGATCAGGAGCCTCCCGCTGGATGCCGTTCAGAACCCACCAAGTTCTTGGAAGTGTAGGGATGAGGGAGAGTGTGGGACTGAGGGGCACTGAGGACAGGCTTGGAGTGAGCTGCTTCATCTTTCACATCCACATGATTGGGCCCATTCTCTGCTTGTCTCTAGTTCCCATCATGCTGTGGCTGATGAAGCCATCTGACCCACAAGTCAAAAGGGGACGGCTTCTCCTAAGAAAAGAAGGTATCAATCAGTCTACTTACTGCCTGACTGTCTGGCTGTCTGGACTGGCAGCATCTGGGTCATGAAGTTCAGGCTTTGGGAGGCTGGAAGGGGCGGAGGGGAGAGGGGAAATGCAGAGATGGTATGTGGGGGTAAAGTCCTATTTCCATTAAGAAAAGGGCTGGTAAGAGAGTAGGGGCTGGGCTATGATGGAGAGGGCTCTCAGGAAGTGTAAAAGATGAGTAGGACCTTCTGCC